TGTGGTTCACTCAATAGACAAGTGTCAGATTTCTTCAAAATAAACCCTTTCTCTACCTTGGGCTTGGATCAGAGGGTCTGTGAGGCCCATCCTTGAACTCTCAGGGATGTTTGTGACAGATGTACTCTAAGGTACCATCTGTGATCTCTCTGAGGTGTTAACCAAGTGGTGCCATCATGCCTGCACCTTCATCTTTGGACTTTTCTGGCAGTGCCTTGGATTTGGTCTTTCTCAGAAGTCATTAATTTTTAGTTTCTGGAGACGCTGAGAATTTTTTTTTTATTTAAAAAATTTTTTTAAAACATATTTTTATTGATTTCAGAGAGAGGAAGGGAGAGAGAGAAACATCAATGATGAGAGAGTCATTGATCAGCTTCCTCCTGCACGCCCCTGACTGGGGATCAAGCCTGCAACCAGGGCATGTGCCCTGACAGGGAATCGAACCTCAATCTCCTGGATCATAGGTTGCTGCTCAACCGCTGAGCCAGGCTGACGGGGCAGTGCTGAGAATTTTTAAAGCCACTAAGTCCTGGCTCCTTTTTATTTAACAGTTCTTTCCTCAGTACGTTTTACTATGAGCTGCAGGGAAAAGCCGGGCACCACCATCAGTCCTTTGCATGGAAATCTCTGTAGTTACATTACTGGTCCATCGTCATCTCCTACTTCTCACATAACTGCAGTTGGCAGTGTTGCTAAGTGCTCTCTCAGCATAACCCGGGTCCCTTCTTCCAGCTTCTAGCCATGTGTTTCTCCTCACTGGCAGCCAATGTCCTTAGAGTCTAGGTTCCTGCTGACGGTCTTTCAAGACTGCTCAGTCTTGAACAAACTTGTTGGTAATTATACTGCGGTTGTGTAAGGGAANATGTGGGAAACTTCTTGATTGGGTCTCAAGGCCTGAGAGTAATTCTCCCTGCTCCCCGCTCTACCCTCCGGGCTCTTGATTCCACCGTCTGAGTCTTACTATAGCTGAGTAGTTTTTTAAGCCTCCTTCCTGTCAGTAGAATTTTGTTTTAATTTGGACTGTTTCTGTCCTTTTTAGTCCAAGCTGGCAGTGTTTTTGCTGATATAATTCTGTCAAAAACTGAATCTTGTTGTGGTTCACTCAATAGACAAGTGTCAGATTTCTTCAAAATAAACCCTTTCTCTACCTTGGGCTTGGATCAGAGGGTCTGTGAGGCCCATCCTTGAACTCTCAGGGATGTTTGTGACAGATGTACTCTAAGGTACCATCTGTGATCTCTCTGAGGTGTTAACCAAGTGGTGCCATCATGCCTGCACCTTCATCTTTGGACTTTTCTGGCAGTGCCTTGGATTTGGTCTTTCTCAGAAGTCATTAATTTTTAGTTTCTGGAGACGCTGAGAATTTTTTTTTTATTTAAAAAATTTTTTTAAAACATATTTTTATTGATTTCAGAGAGAGGAAGGGAGAGAGAGAAACATCAATGATGAGAGAGTCATTGATCAGCTTCCTCCTGCACGCCCCTGACTGGGGATCAAGCCTGCAACCAGGGCATGTGCCCTGACAGGGAATCGAACCTCAATCTCCTGGATCATAGGTTGCTGCTCAACCGCTGAGCCAGGCTGACGGGGCAGTGCTGAGAATTTTTAAAGCCACTAAGTCCTGGCTCCTTTTTATTTAACAGTTCTTTCCTCAGTACGTTTTACTATGAGCTGCAGGGAAAAGCCGGGCACCACCATCAGTCCTTTGCATGGAAATCTCTGTAGTTACATTACTGGTCCATCGTCATCTCCTACTTCTCACATAACTGCAGTTGGCAGTGTTGCTAAGTGCTCTCTCAGCATAACCCGGGTCCCTTCTTCCAGCTTCTAGCCATGTGTTTCTCCTCACTGGCAGCCAATGTCCTTAGAGTCTAGGTTCCTGCTGACGGTCTTTCAAGACTGCTCAGTCTTGAACAAACTTGTTGGTAATTATACTGCGGTTGTGTAAGGGAATGCCCCCGAGCTACACATGGAATTATTTAGGGATCTGCAATTTACCCTCAAGTGATTCAGGGAAAAAGCGTGTGTGTGTAGAGAGAAACATCATAAAGTCGATGTCAAAAATTATTCTTTGTATGATTTAGGTGAAAGGAATGTCGCAGTTCTTAGCACTATTTGTGCACCTTTTCTGAGATTGTTTCAAAATGAAAAGAAAATGGGTAACTCTCAGGGACCTCCATTGTTCCTCAGCTGGAGTGGGAGCCCCATTTTTTCTCCCTTAGAAGGGCCCATACAAGGGTGTAAAGCCCTGTCAGTCTCTCCAGGGATAAGAGGCACTGATGTGATCTGACGGGCCTACGTTACTTGGGACCAAGTGCAGGGTGGCGTTTCATTTTCTCTTTTTTTTAGTAGCTCACTGACTTGTGTGAGGAAACATTTATTCAGTGTGTAAGTCACTTCAGAAGGAGAGGTCCTGTCTGGTCCCATCTGCTCCTAGGAGTGCTCCCCGCCTCCCCACTGAAGGCAGGTCAGAGTTCCAGGAGCCGGGAGGCTTCCCGGGATTGCCAGTGGATCTCTCTAGGCGATCAGTGTTATGTTGGAAAGTGGAAAACGAGGCTTCATGTTCTTCCCGTGATCCTTATGAACGGTGGGCCCAGGGGGGTCTTCACCCTGTGTCCTGGGTCTAAACACTCACTGTTTCATAATGCTCTCATCTGTCAGGGTTGTACGACAAGATGCTCACTCAGCCTTCATTCGTGAGTTTAACAAATATTTACCAGGTGCCCAAATGTGCCAGGCACTACTCTGGTTCAAAAAGGAAACAATTATGTGGCTGTGTACGATTTTATTATTTACAAAATGTCTCATTTAATCTTCATATTAGCTTGGAAAATAGGCAATAAAGTTATATCTCCCTGCATCTAAGAAGTCAGTAATTGGTAGTCCCAAACACAGCCTTAAACTAAGAACTATGTTGGATATAAAGGGGATGGATGTGTCATTACTATGGGTACTTTGGAAATCTCCAGAATTGTAGACCTGTAGGATTTATACAAATTGGGATGTCTGCCCCTGAGGGACCAGAGGTAGTGTTTTCATATGCAAAGAAAAAAAATGAATGGATGCTGTTGGAGCCTATTTTCCCACAAATCTCTGTATAGCCAAGATGTAGTGCATGCAGCTGCCTTTAGACAAAGAATAAAGGGGAAAGAAAGTTGTCGTGAGGCCCAGCTGAGCGACAGGTATAGAGCAGAAAAGGTGCCCTCCTGGAATAGGTGGAGAGGGAGGGGTGTAGAGCAGAAAAGGTGCTGTCCTGGAAAAGGTGGAGAGCAGATAGTGAATGGCCTATTCAGATACCGTTGGGACTCAGAATGAAGAACTGGAGCCCTATGTGCCACAAGGCACCTGTAAGCTCTGCTCTGTTAAACCTTTCTGCAGTGCATTCTCAAACCCGCAAGCAGTAGTTAAATTTATTCTAACCTTACAGTAATTAAAATAGTATGCCACCGATATACGTAAGGAACAGATCATGGACTGAGTAGAAAACTCATAGTCCATTAGCAGAAGGGGTAAATGTAAAAACGACGACAGTTGGTCATACTTGTCTGATGTTTGACTTTGATAGGGCTGCCCTTGAATGTTTCATGGTGGACACCATGTTTGTAAGTCACTGTTGTCATCACTGTTCAAGAACGCTCCCCAGGCATAATCCCTGTCCCCAGGACAAGCATTCCCAAGTCTGGTTTTGCACACCTTAGCAGGTCTATATTTTCCTTTAAATTCTAACCACCAAGTTAATTTCACAGCAGAATTTTATTTCAGTGGAATTATTCATATCAAGCTAACTTGCCAGTGGGTGCTATCATCTTGTCATAGACAATATGGAAATCCTTGTGCCAAGTGTTTGTAACACTAATCACCTTGCCTTCAGGCTTCCCCGCCCTCCATCTTTTTGCTGTGTTTCTCCCATACTTAGGTTCCTAAACCATGAGCTTGACTATGTCATATTCTTGTTCAGAAATCTCCCATGAGTCTCCACTGGTTATGACATAAAGTCTAACTCCTTGCGAGACTCTCAGTCCTCCATGTTTGGCCTGGTGCTAGTGCACCCTTCAAGGCTCAGCTGGGGCCCCCTTCCCTGTGAACCCTGTGAGTCCCTCTTGGTGCACCTGTTCTAGTCCCGTTGACCCTTCTCTGAGAGCACCTTACGGAATTTACTTACCCCAGCTTTTCTTCTGCCAATTTGGGGGCCAGTTTTTCACTTAAACAAGAGCTAAACCTGGTTGACCACAGCCCATCTGGAGGCACAACATCCTTATATTTCATTCAAACATCATTATACTTCATTCGAAGCATGAGGCTAATACAGGATTCTGTTCACATTGTTCTGTCTAAAGGTTTGTATAAACTCTCATGACCTCTGAATAGCTGATAGAATGGTGAAGCTTTGGTAGTGGAGCTACTACCAATTTCCTAGTTGTTCCGGGAATTTGAAAGAAGCCTTTTAGTAATCTGAATACTGAAGTTTCCGGTTGTGTAGCACCCATTACTTTCCATCCTGAGAAGTGCTGCTCTCTTTCCATCAACTATAATGGGAACGAATGGCTCCCGTGAAAGGTCCTGAGCAAATGTTTGGGAGCCACTTACACTTAAATAGCAGGAGGTGAGCACTTATTAATTTAGGCATGTCTCACACCTCTGCTGAGCCTTCCAAGTCGGGGACAGTGTCCTAATCATTTTGGTATTTCCTTTTATCCTCAGTATCTGATGCAGTCAACAAATCCATGTCCATTCATTACTATGTATTCAGTGTTCACATTTTCCCTCTCCCTCACCATTCCTTCCTTTTCCCTCTTGAGCTGCTTTAGAAATTTAAATCTATGACATTGTCAGATGTGATTACAGTTGGAGTAGATATAATTTGGAAGAAGGACTGGTTTTCTCACACCCAAATTATCCCAGAGTGAAAAAAATCTATATATTATCCAGTAAAATGTGGTTCATATACATTGTTGTTTTTAAATTACTAAGTTAAATTTCTGTTTTTTTCTTTTTTCCAGCCATCAAAAATAATGATTAATTTAGAAGATAATGTACAGTATGTGTCCATGAGAAGTAAGTTGATTCCTTAATAGGTTTTAGGTTTTGAAGGTTGAACTTCCTATGATTTCAATGATTTATTTTTAAATGTACATGAGTTGATGAGAAATGTAAATAAAGTTTGTTATTTGTACACTGAACTGTAAAGCTTGGAGTTCCTGAGGTTGCGGGCTGAGTAGTGTGCGTGAGTGCATTTATTCTGTTGCATTTCCCCAGAGTGCTGGGAGAGCAGCCCCGCGCTGCTGTGAGCAGAGCCAAGGCCACAGGCCAGGAAGCAGGAGGACGGCCTTTCCCCCCAGCCGCCTTGGATTTCCTGTGCTCTCCTTTAAAGGACTCCAGCCTTGGGCCAGTGCTCAGTCAGTTAATGGAGATAGAAGGCCAGTTGCCCTAGTTCCCTGTCCTTCCAAACCTTTATGATAGAGCGCCCCACCCCTAATTTCCCCTACATTTGGCCCCATTCTCAGTGGATACACAGTGCATACATGATGCCCCATATGGAAATCTTGGTGTCAGCCCTTAATTTTTCCTCAGCCCCATCACAGCCTTGCCTGTAGTTGGTCTTGAGGTTTTAACTTGCGTGTGTTTCTCCCTCTGCCCCATACATTTAGTGAGCTCTCATCAGGCCTGGCCCTATATTAAGCTCTTTGCATGGACTATCACAATAAGCCTTCAAAATGTAGGTATGGATTGTTACTTATATTGTGTAGACAAGTAAACTGAGGCCCAGAGAGGTTAAGTAACTTGCTCAACCTGTGTGTTGAACTGGCTGCAGTTTGGGTTCTCCCTCTCCCATACTGAAGTAGTGGGACAGCCTCCTATGCAGGTCGCCTGCTCCCAGGCTCTTCCTTCTGCTGCCAGTATGATTTTTCTAGTACAGAAATGGGACTGTGATGTCACTCAACCTAAGACTCCTCAGTGGTGCTATTACTTAGAGAACCCTGACTCCCCACTTATTTGGTTTTACTTATGTTAAATTTATACGCTACCTCATGTTCTTAAAAGAAGCAAGGCAGTGGGTACTGGATAGACAGACAAGGCCCTGGAAGGTCACCTCTGCTTCCCTTACAGCCAGCACTCTGCTGCTCGCTCACTGCTAACGCTGTACTAGCTGTGGACTCTGTAAGTACGCCGTGTCCTCAAACGCCGCTCTGTCCTCTGACGTGTGTCCTCTGCCTCACTGAGCCCCTGGCCTCCATTAGAGTGGGGAGCATCTTCCTAGTCATCTTTCTGTTCTCGATTCCCAGCATCCTCCCCTTAGCAGGCCTTCCCAATTTCCCTCTCTAGTTACGGTTTTGTGTCATCTTAAGTAATTCTGAGTACCTCTGCTAGCACTTACCTCACAGTATTGTAACCAGTTCTTTACTAGACCATGGAAAGCCTTTAGTTTGAAGATCTTTTTAGTCATCATATCCCTTCAGCAACATAGTTATAGGTGTTTAACCCTTTACAGTCGTTTGTCTACTCTCAGCCACCAAAGCTTTTTTACCGTTCCGGTCGTATGTCTGCTCTTAGCCACCACAGCGAGGAACCGTACGAATCTTAACTCCATTCATGTATCAGTTCATAAATCTTGTTTATCCTTCATAATCTTGCATGTTATGTATCACTGCTCTTTCAATGGAAATTAATTCCAACCAGTATGACACCCATGTCCAAATTTAATACGACCGCAAAGGGTTAATATCTTTTCTTTACAAAAGGACTAACATGATAGGAAACTTACCCTGAGCTTACAAAGCCATGTCTTCTTAGTAATCTAGCATAAATGCATGCTTTTTATTTTACTTTTTTAATTTATTTGAGAGAGGGAGATAGGGAGAGAAACATCAATGTGAGAGAAAAACATTGATCAGTTGCCTCTCATATGCACCCCAACCAGGGATCAAACCCGTTACCTTTCAGTATACAGGACGACACTCCAGCCAGCTGAGCCACATACCAGCCAGGGCTACATGGATGCTCTTTAAAGTTATAATTTCTCATTTGTAATTTTCCAAGGTTTGTTGTAGAATTGTGACTTTATTCTAGCTATAATTTAAAATTTTTTAATACTTTTTAATCCTGTTTAATCTCAAGTATAGGAATGGTCTGCACAAAGGAGACATGTATGATATAAAATGTGTACTTTTGTTCTTGAAATGACCACTGTGGTCTTTAACCTGCATATGCCACTGCAGAGGTTCTGGACAAGGGTATTTCTGCTTGAAGGGAGTATGAGTACTTTTTCTGGAGCACACTGACTGGTGTGCTGGGAAAGTAAAGATGGAGAAAAGTCACATACTCCTCACTAGGACAGCTAAGTTTCTTATAAATTTATTTCCTCTGTACACCAAACCATAAGAACTTTTTTTCAGTATCAAATTGGGGAAGATGAAGAGAGTGATAATACTATGTCCTGGCGAGCCCTTGGAGACCGCCCCCAGCTGGTAGAATCCCCAGCCTGCACAGCAGGTTTAGCAGCACATACCAAATTCCTTTAAAAATGCCCTTTTACGCAGCAGCTTCACATCTTGTAATTTATCTGAAGGAAAGAATGAAGGGTGCATATAAAAATTTAGCTACAGGGAGAGTTATTGAAGTATTGTGCAAAATCATCAAGTTGTAAACAATTTGAGTTTCTGGTGTTGGGGTAAGGACATGAATATTCCATGCAGTTAAATAGTGTGCAGCCATTAAGAATTAAATGTTATGCAGCCATTAATAGAAAATATCTTTCTCCAGTTTTATTGAGAAGTAATTGACATACATTACTGTATACGTTTCAGGCATACATCATGATGGTTTGATTTACCTGTACTGCGGGATGATTACCACAGTAGGTTTAGGTAACATCCACCATCTCATATAGATACAACTAAAAGAAAAGAAAAAAAATTCCTCGTAATGAGAACGCTTAGGATCTACTCTCAACAGCTTTCTTATATGTCAGTCATATATATATCGAGACATTCAGGTGTGGAGGGGCAGAGTGTGTATAAACAAACCAAAAGCATATTAGGTGGGTGAGAGGAATAAAAGAGATTTTTTTTCCCCCTTTCATTTGCTTGTCTGTTAATATAGAGTAGTGAATATTGTAAAAAGTAGATTTACTACCTTTCCTCGAGGTGTATCATAACTGTCCTATTAGGAGCTCTGTCCAATAGAACTGTCCAGTTTGAGCTCTTTCAAAAACTTCATCAGACAGGGTTATACCATGACATGTGTAGAAACATTAAAAAAAAAAAAAAAAAAGCCAAGTCTCTGCCTTTGCTTTATAACAATTCCATAACTTGAAGAGCAAATGAGAAAATTAATTCTTAAAATCATTTCTAATTTCATTCCTTAGAATGATGTTGATACAAATGCAAATTCACCGCTTGGGTAAGGTGCAGTGAGCTCTGAAAATTCACACCAGTGGAAATGGGTTGCATATTTTGAATGCTCCTTTTTCTTTTTTTTTTTTAAATATATCTTTATTGATTTCAGAGAGAGGAAAGGAGAGGGAGAGAGAGATAGAAACATCAATGATGAGAGTCATTGATCGAGCCCGCAACCCAGGCATATGCCCTGACTGGGAATCGAACCCCGATTGCCTGGATCCTAGGCCGATGCTCAACCGCTGAGCCACGCCTGGCTGGGCTTGAATGCTCCTTTAAGTCTAAAGCCTTTGTTTACCTGGGCTAGGCTAACTTTTATCCAGCTTGAGAAATCTGATTCATAAAAATTAGCTATGATTTGGTCAGTGTGTAGAATTTCCATAGTGTCTGTGCTTACTGATGGAGAGGAAATAAATAATTTTTATATGAGTTTAGAAAGAAATGCTATTTAAAATTTTACACAGATTTGTTTTGTTTCCCAGAAACTCTAAAAGTGAAGAGACCTCGTTTTGATGTATCATTGGTCTATTTAACTCGGAAATTTATGGATCTTGTCAGAAATGCTCCTGGGGGTATTCTTGACTTAAACAAGGTCGCTACAAAACTGGGAGTGCGGAAACGAAGAGTGTATGACATCACCAACGTCCTAGATGGGATCGACCTGGTTGAAAAAAAATCTAAGAACCACATTCGATGGATGTGAGTTGACTTCAAACTTTTCATGGCTCTTTTTCTTTCTCATTGAGTGACCATCTCATGCCTAAAACTAACTGATGGAGCAGTGTTTGCACAATAGGAAACAGAGTAAGATGTGACTTCCTGTTAGAAGAGGATTCTATAAAATTTTTTACATTGTCACACAAAGTACATAAATGGCTTTTCCTACTTAAGAGTCATAGACAGGAGGATACTATGGATAAGTTAAATGGAATGTGATTAGTTTTAAGATAATCGCTTTTCAAAGTATTTCCTCGGTTCCTATTGATTATTGATGTCAGGGAAATCAGTTAAGGTTGTGAAACAGTGGTTCTTGCACAGTAGTGTAATGAACACTTAGAAGCCTCCTGCCCCGGGGGCTGTAATCCCACTGTCTGGAGAAAGCGGGAATCGACCTCCCATGGTTTACGTGCAGATAGGCTGTGGATCACACTGAGAAACTCATGGCCCTCAATACAAAAAAGGTAGACTTAATGTCAAAAAGGTAATTGCTGAAGACTTAACGTGGGATTAGGAAGGATCACGTGGAAGGAGGACCTTGTGATATAGATGTAGGTAGATACAGGTGTGGGAGGGGGAAGGGGTTGCTCGCACATGCATAGGAGAAAGTGTTATAGTAGGCAAGTGTTTCTGGAACAGTTCCAAACATACACTGAGAACCAGTTCTAGCATGTGAGTAGATAGAGACTTTTCAGGCAAGTGAAAATGCTACCAACAAAGGTCATAAATGACCCTAAGTAACTAACTTAGTTATTAGAGGAAAGCAGTTTATAAAGGTATTTTTTCAATAGTGCGAAAATGCAGATTGAAGTCTAACTTGAATGTGTTTACTAAATAACATGAAACAACACTTGAGGGGTTAACTTCAGATTGTATTCTGAATCACTAATGGGAATCACATTGAAAACTAGCAGGCAAAAGATCATGGTAACAGTCTTTTCTGTCTTTATTTTCATAAAGATTGAAGAAAAAAATATCAGTTGTTACTCAGGTCATATATTGGCTTAAACAGTAATAACTAAAGAAAGTCTTTTAAGAGCAATGAATATAATCATCATATTCAGATAGAACCAGATATAATATGCACAGTAGGGAGCAATACAGACTCAGAATTTTAGCAGTTAGCCAGCACTCCTGGTTTTTCATATATAAAAACTAAGGGACTAAAAGAGTATGACTGGTCAGAAGTCATGCTGTACGTACTAGACCTGGGGCTTAAATTGGGTGTTACTGACTCTTAGTGACATGACCATTTCATTAAGCTTTCCCTGCTACTTCATTAAGCTTCATTAAGCTTTCAATACTCCTATTAATTTCTCTGGAGTTATGATGTGTTTGTTTTTCTAAGCCCCTGTGAAACGGACTAGAAATGGGGACAAAAAACAGTTTATGTACAGGAGGAATAATGGTAATCTAGGGTAATGGGAGGGCAGAGGTGAAGTCGAGGTAGTGTCCGTCTGCCCTTGTGGCAAACAACTGATGTAAACTTTCGAGGCAGTTCCAGTAACCTCTTCTGCATTATTCTGCAATCTCCTATGTTACTGAGGGTGATCTTTTTCTCTAATACTTTTAAAGAGGATCTGACCTCAACAATTTTGGAGCTGTGCCCCAACAGAAGAAGCTGCAGGAGGAACTTTCTGACTTATCAGCGATGGAAGAAGCTCTGGATGAGTTAATTAAGGATTGTGCTCAGCAGTTGTTCGAGTTAACAGATGACAAAGAAAATGAAAGATATCCTTTAACTCTGTGCCTCTTTAAAAAATTTCTCCTTCCAAAGCAAGTTTTTTTAAATAGTCGAGTCAGCTTGGGGATTTAATTCATGTAGTTAAACAAAATTAGACCTTTAGAAGTTAAAGTAAGTAAAGGTTTAGTCCTATAGCCTCAAACATGCCCAAATAACACATCATGGCCTTTACCTTCCTGGTGTGTGGTTCTGGTTAAGTGCTGCGCCACAACCTGAGTAGTGCAGTAACCTACTGAGGCTGACATTGCAGTTAGAGCTAAACTAGTGGAGCTAAACTAGTGGAGCATTCTTGTGCATTCTCGTAGCCTGGCTGCTGTAATAAAGGTGGTAAAATTTTTGAGAAATTCCTGTTTTCCCTAATTTGTTCATTACATTTTATTTTATTTCTGAAACAATGAATGGCCATTGAAATGGCACTTAAACTGTTCCTTTAGGTCACAAAGCCTGATGGAGTGAATGTCAGTGCTGCTCCTAAACTTGTATCTCTGGGATTAGAGGGGAGAGTTGTCTCTGCAGCTGATCTTCTGGGTCTCCTGGGTCATGCGTAACTTGGTTCCCCTTGCAGCACTTTTGCAAGGTGTCACAGACTCAGAGCTGTTTCAAGCTTCCAGATTACATAAACTCTACATCAGTCTAAACTCCTGTTCCAATAGTTATTAAAAGGAAAAGAAGTGCTAACATTACTATAGTCAAAAAGTCTGTGGAGTGAAAAAAGAATGTTGGAGTCGCCCAATAAAACACGTAATTGTTATAATTTTAGCCAAAACAGTAACCAAGTACAAAAATTCAGGTGATGAGTTAGACAAGAATATTGGATAAGAGAAATCCCATGAGTAGATGTTAATCCTGAAAAACTTATTGTCTTAAGTTGTTTCTGCTTTTTACAGATTTTTTTCCCACCTTAATTTTAAGGGGTTCTCACCAAAACTCCAGATACTTTTCCCTAGAGGTTCTCATAGTGAGGTCTAGCCGTGAATAGGGAATGGGGTTGGGTGGGTGGATTTGATACCTTTATGAGTTGTGTTTGTGTCAGGAATCCAGACTTTAATAATATTTCTCCAGAAATTGTCATAATCACAATAGTACAGTTTAAAGGAACTCTTTAGATTGAGTTATAAATATGTAAAACACTGTAAGTCATAAAGTAAGAATTATGTATGAAAGTGTTTTTACTAACGGCCTTCTTTAATTGTTTGTATCCTATAAAAACTAAAGATATTCTGATATACTTGCATCCCTGCATTACAAGAGCTAAGCTACCTCCCACAAAGCAAGCCTCTGCCTAGAGATCCTTAACTGGTTTTTACACTAGCATATGTGACGTACCAAGATATCCACAGCATTCAGGCCTTTCATGAGCAGATTGTTATCGCAGTGAAGGCTCCAGCAGAAACTAGACTGGACGTTCCAGCCCCCAGAGAAGTAGGTAACCCTGCATTTGTAAGATTTTCGGGGGGGGGGGCACCTGCTGATACTCTGCTTCATTGCAGCCTCAGTAACTTTATGACCCATAATACCCTGCTGACCAGTCGTGAGTATACGTGTTTCCGTTTCCAAACACTGTTGACCAGTCATGAGATAACTGGCGTCTGCACTTAAGTTTAAACACCCTGCTGACCTAAGTCCTGGCCGCACTTGCGAGTTCTGGCTCGAAATAGCCAGTCAGCAAGTTAGCATGCTCACCTAGCTGCACACCTGGTGCTGCTCCAGGCACTGTACACATTTTAGCTCGTCTTAAATAACAGCAGGCAGAGTAGTCATGATGATTATCCTCTTCAACATGAGGAACCTGAAGCATAGAAAGATTAATTGATGAATTTACTTCTTCATGGTCAGTAAGAAACAACCAGAATTCAGCCCAGACGGTTTGGCTTCACTGTGTTGTTAATCATTGTGCTATAGTGCTGCTTCTGGAGGCATCACCGGGACGTGACCTCACTCCTGAAGTTCCAGAAGGAAATCTGGTGTCAGCCCAGGCTTTAGGGAATTAACTCACTAACCAACTCTGAGAAGACTGAAGGGTAAACTAGAACTCTTAAGTTATACGGTAAAAATGAAAAGTAGCCCCGGCCAGTTTGGCTCAGTGGTTAGAGCGTCGGCCTGTGGGCCAAAGGGTCCAGGACCACAGTGAGGAGTGCAGGAGGGGGCAGCGCTGCCCGGGACCCGGACCCGGCCCCCCCGCACGGACGGGAAGAGGCAGACACAGTCGAACCCACTCCCGGTCAGAATAGCAAAGGACCCGTTTATAACGAACTCTTCCTTTAAAATTTAGCACGTTCCCCTTGGAAGCCCCCAGTTTCCTGACAACTCATGGGTTTTCGTGTTTTAAGTTATATGAGGTGTATTTTGTAGTGATCTCATCCTCCTTTTCAAGTGGACGAAAGAATGGCCCTTTCAGTTAGCTCTTCAGGGGCCTGGAAACTAAAACACACCCAGATCATCTGAGACCACAGGGGATTCTCAGTTTCTTTGTCATCAGGACACTGAGTTTTGACTCCTACAGATTCCTCGAAGGTGTCAGTCAACCCGGAGGAGGGGATGGGCTCTTGAGTACTGAGGTGTTCACACCATGGCTCTGAGGCCATTGTTCCGTCATCAGGTAGCTATTTTTAATAACATGCATTGGCCAGTGGGTTAATGTGACTAAAATTTAGTACATGGTTTTCTCAAACATGATAGAAAGGTAACTATCTGAATTTACATTTTCAGAAATGTCCCTTGAAACTTTTGCAGTTCTGGTAAGTGAAAAAAAATAGTTATGAATCCTCTTGTTGACGCTGACGATTGCCATGTGTTTTGCTAGGACTCCATCACGGTGCATATACGGAGCACCAAGGGGCCCATTGACGTCTATCTGTGTGAGGTGGAGCAGGGCCGCTCAAGCAGTAAGGTGTCTGGAGGTGCAGGAACCTCATCATCTAAAGGCAAACATGCAAAAAACCCTGATAAAGGTAAACACCAGTTTTGTGATCTGGGAAAATTTAATGTTCTAGTGATTTTTAAATTATGTCATACTTTTTTAAAAAGTTTACTGGGTGACATTGTCTAATAAAATTATATAGGTTTCTGAAGAAAGAAATGGAAGACAATACAACTAAGTGGAAGCATGTGCCATGTTCATGGACAGGGAGGATTAGCATACTATAAACGTCCACATTGCCCAAAGCAGTCTATAGAGCCAGTGCAGTTCCTGTCAAAACACCAGTAGTGTAGTTCACAGAACTAGAATAAGTACTCCAAAAATTTATCTGGAACCACAAAAGACCCCAAACAGCCACGGCAATCTTGAGAAAGAAGAACAGAGTTAGACAGATCACAATACCAGGTATCAAACTGTAATACAGGCCATGGTAATCAGAGCAGCATGGGACTGGCAGAAAAGCAGGCATAGAGATCAGTGGAATAAAACAGAGAGCCCAGAAATAACCCCCTGCCTTTATGTCAATTAATATTTGACAGAGGAGGCAAGAGCATACAATGGGGTATTGAAGAGACTTCTTCAATAAATGGTGTTGGGAAAATTGGACAGATACCTGCCCAAAAAATGGAACTAGACCACTTTCTTACACCGTACACAAGAATAAACTCAAAATGGATTAAAGACTTAAGGTTAGACTTGAAACCATAAAAATCCTACAAGAAAACAGGCAGTAAAATCTCAGACATTCTACATACCAATATTTGGGCAAGGGGAACAAAAGAAAGACAAATGGGACTACATCAAACTGAAATGGTTTTGCACAGCAAAGGAAACCATCAAAAAATGTGAAACTTATGGGTAGAAACAGGATCGTGTTGGTCCCGTGCTGGTACCGGCTGAGGAGGTCTCTGTAGACGGAGGAGGCCGTCACATTCTGACAGGCGCTCTCAGGTACATGTTTGTGTTCCAGCTTATTCTTGTGACTTGGAGCATTAGTCTTATGCCGTTAACATCAGAATATGGTTCTTGACCAGGGTCCTTCCTTTTTTGTTTTGCAGTTGAATTGTGTGTTCTGTTACATGGTTGCCCTTTAAACCCTCACTTAGAAGAAATTCTTTCATGTTTGTTATTTTTCAGAAGAAAGTCCTCCACAGCAAAGTGAAGAACAGCTTGAAGTGAGCAACTGATGGGCTCTGAGCATGCGTGTGCCGAGTGGTTTGGAGCATCCCGTGGATGGTTACGCATCAAGTTTGATCCTCAGAGCAACAGGTCACTGTGAGGTCCCCTCCTCCTCAGCACTAGCATCAAGCCCCGTGGTGTGTTTGAGTGGCTCACTACTTAGGTTCCTGCATTATTATGGTTTCCACGTTCAAAAGCAACTCTTTTAAAATTCACCGCTTTTTGTCAGGGAAGTATGCTTTTTTTCAGCCTGCCTACTGAAATAGCTTCCTCACAAAGATAGCTCTAAAACCGTCCGTCAAGCCTGAATGGACAGTCCTCTGGGCTCTGCGCCTCCTCCAAGGATCATGTGTCATTATACAAAAGCAGTTGCCTTACACAAGTTCATGTCTGCAGTGAGCTGCTGCGCACTGATGGGGTGCACCCGCCATCTGAATGTGATTTCTGTATATATCTGTATAGTGTTTAGGTTACCTATGCTTCTAAGTGGATCTTTTCACATTGTACAGCCAAAATCATGTATATATGGAAATTAATAGGCAAATTCTCTAATTTCTGTGGCACATGTAACTTATTAGAACCCTGTGAGTGTGGTTTAGAGGAGCCTTTTTTCCAAACTTCTACATGTAGAGTAGCATAAATATGCTATAATACAGTAAAGATCATGGGTTTAATTCAGAATTTCAGCATGACTCACAGGGCTGGAATTGGATGTCGAACCACCTACAGTTACTGTGTCTGAGGAGACCGGTGGCTGCCCCAAACCTTTAGGGACAAGTGTAGAAATGCCATCAGATAGTGTCTTAGTTGAGTGTAAGGCACCAATTCAATTACAGTGACAGGTGGAAACTGTTGTAACCTTTTTGCCAGCAGGTTTTGTGATAGTGTTTCTGTGTGCAGCTTGCTCTTCAATCAGGGGTTTACTTAGGCGCTAGTTGTACCTGCCCTCACTCCCGCTCTGGTCCCCCATTTCCAAGTACCTAGCTAACTCTACCTCACTGGGTAAATCGTGTACCACTCTGTGCCTCAGTTCACTCGTAGTTTACCATTAGACTGTGAGCTCCTTGAGGGACTTTGTCTTAATCATTGTACACCCAGAGCCTTGCACCGTGCCTGCCCGGCAATAAGTGCTCAGTAAATGTTTGAACAAATCGGCGAGTGAGTGAATTGTAAAATGAGACTAAAATACTTGGCTTGTCTACCATACAGGATTCTTATAAGCGTCATTCAGATTTGTATTTTAAATGCCTCTTGCTTTCAAAGAAAAACCTGAAGCAACTTGAAATTAAGATCATGTATAAAAAGATTTAAAATAGAAACAAAAATGAAAATATTGAAAAATAGTGCTGAGTGTTTAGGATTCACATACCTCTGCTCTCCAGTGGCTTCTGTCCATCCTGTCCCTTCGCAGCACCCACAGCCTCCCTAGCAGCGCCGCTGGCTTCCTCCCAGGCCTGCACTGCTGGTAGTGCTCCTTGTTTGGGACATGCTGGTGAACCTGAGACTTCAGGCAGGCGTGTGTGTGCGTATGATCAGGTGCTCATGAGAAGACCTAGGGTCTGCAGAGTAGGGTTGGCAGGTGTCAGTATGTGATGGCCAGAACCACGAGTGGGTGAGGTCATCTAATGAGGGCATATATCGCAGGAGAAGAGGAGGGGCCCACGGACATCTGTGTTTAAGGGGAAACAGGAAGAAAAAGTTCTTCCTGAGAAGGAGTAATGAGGGGCAGGAGAGAAAGGCTATTCCCCTAAAGCCAACAAAGGAGACCTGGCCCAAGGTGATAGCTTCATGTCTGAGCCGCAATTCCTCACTTGTGAAACGTGACAGGTGTTCAGCTAACAGTGCTCCGAGGGTGGGATGAGATCCTGAAGCTCTTTGTAGCCATAGGTGTGTGATATAAAGGAGCGTTCCCGTCACTTCGCCTTCTGGTGTCTGGTGTCTTCTTTCTGCAGCTGCTTCAGCTGCCCCAAACCAGCTCCCAGCCCTTCCTCCCTGCGTCCCGATGTCACTGCCCATCTCTGCGCACACCATCCTTTCATGTCACCAACCCCTTCAGAAACCTGGAGTGTCCCTGTTCCCTCAGGCTGACGTCCAGACTCCCAACACAGCGGCCTCTGGGCTGCCCCAGCCTCGCTTTCCAGTCGTGTTAGTCTCTGTGCCAGCCCTTGACCCAGACCTCATTGCTTTAGCCACCATGCCTGGAACCCAGTGCTCTCTCCCGTCCCTGTGCCTTTCCTCTCATCCTCTGCCTGGAGTCGGCTTCCCCTTCTCAGCTTTCAAAAGTGCATCCCCACTCCGGACCCCACTTAAACTCCGCCTCCATCACCCCACAGTCCACCCAGAGCTTTTGGGAGCCATCGTCCATCCTCAGGTGGCTGGCCGGGTTTCCCCACTGGCATTATATGCTCTCAGAGCGTAGGGGCCATAGCTCACAGGGGTTGATATTTCCCACACTTCTATAGTGTGCAGTACATTTTTGCTTGATAAGAAAATGACCTGACTTCATTCAACCCAAATCCCAAGAATTTGAAAACAAAGCCCGACTTTTTGAACACACAAACCAACAAACTGAATTTGCACTAAAAGAAAAGACTCTGCCCCAGTTTTGCATTTTGTCAGGCGTTCTAGCACATGTGCCTATTTGTCCCTCAACTCAGCGCTGTGCTGTGAGCGCACTTGGCAGGAGGGGGGCCGTAAGCTCGAGACAGTCATGTCCGCTCTCATCCTTCCTGGATTTGTCCGTTGGCTCCCAGTGTAATGTGAGTCTAACGTGTGTGATGGTTGCTGTTTGGTGAGAATTAACAGTTACTCAGATTCCTCACCGGCTTTCAATTAAGCAGGTGCTAAGAGAATAGCACTGAGAAACAGTCCCATTCAGGATCCCATTCTTGTCGATAAGGTGAATTGGTACTAATTTTTACATGTTAAAATGTAAATGGAATAACTTGGGAAGAAAAGTTACAGCAGTTCAGAAATCTGCATGAGCATCCACCTAGGATCCAGGAGATCGAGGTTCAGTTCCAGGTCAGAGCACATGCCTGGGTTGTGGGCTCTATCCCCGGTGGGGGGTGTGCAGGAGGCAGCCGATCAATGACTCATCATGGGTGTTTCTGTCTCTCTACCTCTCCCTTCCTCTCTCTGAAATCAATAAAGACATACTTAAAAAATTCTGCATGATACCTCACCGTGTCAGATTTTCTCTTGGCATCATGTAGTCTGCAGAGGCCTTGATTGTCTTGGCACCCCTCACACATCACACTGGTCCGTGATGTTGGACCTGGTGATCTGGAGGCAGCAACACCTTAGATGTTCTATAAGACGTGTGTGCCAAAGGTGGTAGACAAACCCACTTTTTTGTTTTAATTTTCACCTGAGGATATGTTTGGATTTTTATTATTGGTTTTAGAGAGAGAGATGAGGGAGGGAGAAATATTGATCGGTTGACTCCCATACACACCCCAAACGAGAACAGAACCCGCAACCTGGGTATGTGTCCTGACTGGGAATCGAACCTGAGACCCTTCAGTGCTCTAACCAACTGAGCCACACCAGCCAGGGTGACAAACCCACTCTTGATACCAAGTACTGTACCTGTCAGGGTCCAGTAAGAAAGCCACGGTAGGTGTTACAACAGAGGTGTGTTAACACAAGGCGGTGAAAATAAGAGGGGACCTCAAGGTACCAGACTAATAATTCAGGAAGTAGCTACCACCCCAGCATGAAGTAGGGTTAGCATAACCTAGGAGCTCCAAGGAGAGGTCCCCACATCTCTGAGGGAGATGCCACACTAGTGCTTGGACCTCTGGTGAACAAGACACCCACTGAATGGTTGGTGCTCAGACCTCTAGGTTATGACCTGGTGTGCACACCACTAAGAGGCTAGAGCCACCAGTGCAGGCACTTCTGAGGGGTGCGAGGGTTGTTGGGAACCAGTAACAGATGTTCTCTAGATTGTCTTGATTAGCGGTCGCACCAGTGTATACAGTTTCCAAAACCCGTTGAGCAACACATTTACGGTCTGTGCATTTTATTTATTATTGATAACTCAATTCCTCTAAAAAAATTCTTTAACCATACTACCATTTACAATTTACTCCAAAGGAAATTAAATACTTAGATATACACTTAACAAACACGTATAGGATCTATATGCTGAAAATTACAAAATGCCAATGAAAAAGCTCAGAGAGGACCTAAATGAGATACTCTTCCTCAGCGACAGGATCTGCACGGGATTCTCCTCGAGCCAGGCAGGGGGTGAAGGCACATGAGTCGGCCACAGACCACTCGGGAGGAGAGAAACCAGCACTGGGGGACAGGCTCCTGCGAACACACATTTGAATTGCGTGCATTGAACTGGTTTCTCATTTTGTGAAACATTTTCCCATATGGCTATTTGGCTAATCTCTGTTTGGCTTCAGTGGTAATATTAGGATGAATGAAAATGCATTGCCCCGGCCGGTGCTGCTCCATGGGTGGAGCGCGGGCCCTGCACCAAAGGGTTTCAGTTGGATTAAGGGCACGTACTTGGGTTGCATGTCCATTCCTGGCCCCGTCGGGGGGTGTGCAGGAGGCAACAGATCGATGTGTCTCACATCGATGTTCCTCTGCCCCCTCCCTGCCTCCCACTCTCTCTAAAAGTCAATGGAAAATATATCCTCAGGCAAGGATTTAAAAAAGAAAAAGTGCTGGAAAAGATCAGACTTAAATATTGAAATGTCGCTTAGTTAAAACCCTTTTAGAGCTGTTTCCATCTAGCATGTGGCTCATTCAGTCGTGTAATCTGGCGAACGGGGCTGACTTGCTATTTATAACAGGCATTGTACTGCTGAGCACTTGTCCGCATTCGGAAGGAGCTGAACAGCGTGTCCAGTACTTTGCAAAATTCTTTCAGACCCTCTCATGAGAACTTCAGTAGGAAATGTTATCACCCGCCAAAGTGGTTGCCTGTAGACAGACTCTTGTTTTATATTTAACTCTGAAAATATGTTTACAGTCCTTGTAAAGAGCCCTTTTACTCAGTTACCCTGCTGGGTTTAATTTGGGGCAAAAGGAAAGTTGGGCAGTAGGTAGACGTCATACGGTGTTGGGATGCGACTGGTAGCAATTTCCGGCAACGCCTAGATCTGCTCTTGTGGATCGTGCTGCATTTACTAGTTACGGTTGTCGTCTGCTCATGACGACGACTCCTTTTATTGAGCCCTTATCTCGCGCCAGTCACTGGAGTAAGGGCTATAAGTAGTTGAATTTCCACATTGTCTTGTCAGGTAGGTGTCGTTACCCTTGCTTGAGAAATGAGAACACAGAGGGCCACACAGTCAATATGAGAGCCCGGGTTTGTACCCAGGACAGTGTGACTCACAGTCCCAGACACCCTTTGAAAACAAAGGTGACACTCATGCCAGGCTCTGTGGTTTGGTTTTAAAACTTTTATTGATTGATTTGAAAGAGAAACACTGATTTGCTGCTCCACTTATTGATGCATCATTGATTGATACTTGTATGTGCCCTGACCGGGGATCAAACCCAAAACCTTGGCTTATTGGGATGACTGACGCTCTAACCAGCTGAGCTACCCGGCCAGGGCCAGGCTATGCGGTTTAAGCATGAAGAATTATTTGGGTTCCATGCCATGGCCATGAGAAAATGTCTTCATCTTTGGAGGACCCTTCAGAAGGTGTGGCGGATAGTAACTATCGGGTGGTGAGGACTGTACTCCCCAGCTCCCGTTCTTCCCCCACGCAGCAGTTCTTTCTCCTTTGACCAGTACTGTGGGGATGAACACAGGCAGTGTCCTGAGCCCAGGTGAAAGGAGGCCACCTGACCCCGCACGAGGGCTGCTTTCCGAGTCGGGTTTTGCAGTTTACTGATCAGGCTACTTGAGGTGGGCAGAGAAGCCCTGGAACTGCAGGGAGTTTGCGCTCTGCCTCCTTGGAGCCATATATAGACATACATCTTCCTTCCACGGCCATCGAAGATGACGGAAACTTATGGAGACTTTTTCAAACAAGGGATCGGGAGCGTCTGAGGATTCTTTGTTGAGCCGGCTGGAGCATCCTCTGCTGGTGAGCTGGCTGGAGCATCCTCTGCGGGCGGGCTGGCTGGAGCATCCTCTGCGGGGAAGCCGGCTGGAGCATCCTCTGCGGGGAAGCCGGCTGGAGCATCCTCTGCGGGGAAGCCGGCTGGAGCTTCCTCTGCGGGCGGGCTGGCTGGAGCATCCTCTGCGGGCAAGCTCGAGTTTCCCATCTGGGGCCGGGGCCAGCTGCCAGCTGTGTCCAGCCCTCAGTCTTTGACGTCAGCCTCAGAGCCACTGGACTTTGAAGCAGCTCGCCTGCAGGGTG